GTTGACCAAATTACTTCAGTCGTATACAAGGTTTGACAAAAATTATAAATTTTCCTCAAGAATAAAGTATCTTTATTATTACCATTATCTAAAATTGTTATCGAAAACTGGTGATCAGAATTGAAAATCACGTTCAAATAGCAGTTGCATACATTTACAAAAATTTTACTTATTTCTCATAACTTATCTCTACAGTAGCATCAAAAATTCAACTGTAATTATTTTACAAGTAAAATAGTTATGAAACATCAAGAAACTAAACATTATCATGTACTTATTGACCTCTTCTTGAAATCAATTTTTAATATAGAATTATTGGATATTACAAAATGTTGAAAACTATAGCCTAAACACAACTCATTTATGATTCAACACCAGATAGCGCTGTTTCAACCTACCAGGACTCATCAGTAGTGGCACAGCAACCCACCTGCACGTCGTCTTGATTTCAAACAGGTTGGAGCCTGGCTCCCTTAACCTTTGGACTGATTCACACAAATGGATTGCTGTCCTTAAAGGACAAGCCTGAGAAAGTAAGGACGACGACATCTTTCCCCTCAAAGACGCCTTCTATGGGATCGACAGGGAACTCTATCCTCAGATATCAAAGATAAACGAGGTTCCTCAAGGACAAAACACAAGCAGCTCAATAAACTACTTAAGGCGCTCTAAGAGCGGTGCCTGTGCGAAAGTAGGGATTCACGTTGGATTTGAATCGCTGGAGATTAAATTCATTTGGAAAAACGTTCCCAGTTAGTTTATTATACTCAAACGCANATAAAGGTACTTTACTCATGAGCAAAATTCATATTTTTTGACGAACCTCTTATACGACTGACAAAATTTGATAACATGATGAAAAAAGTTTTCCATATGGTTCCAACTTACTGAGACATACTATATGTATAATATGAATCCATGCAAGCTGATTTTTGAAGTAAAGATTGACTAGCTCGTTCCATTTTAGAAAGTGTTTATTTTGGGATTGAAGCACATTAGTGCACTCGCCTAAGCAATTGATATAATTAAATACAATTGTCTTCCACTGATTGAATTAAAGATTCTATTTTGATTATTGTATAAGACTGTACAATAATTCACAGAAAATGTTAAAGAATTCAATAAGAACAGTGACTCCTTCAGGCAAATCATTAAACATTCATCAATAGGCATAGTTTGCACGAATTTTACAATGATCGATTCTGAATTGAAATGAACTAACTGTATGCTATTTTTGTGAGTTTATGTTCATAGGTGTCTATTTTTATTTTATATAATTTGTAATTTCTTTTGATGTTCCTGTTAATTTCTGATGAATCAAGGTTAGAAATCTACTGATAGACCTATCAGAGGTGGCAAGATTCAAAATACACGTCTAAAAGATATCCTAACCAACTCATTAAGTTAAAAATTAATAAATGGCAAAAATTGAAAGAATACTAATTTGTAAAGAAAATAAATGATTGTGACATTGAATGTAAATGAATTGATAAGTGAAAAGTTTCATTGCTTTTCGAGGTTTAACAGAATTTTGTTTGAAAACACAGAACTAATTGTCCCCAACCAGGGATACCATAGCCGACTGGTACGAGAGGCAATAGAGATCCACAAACACACGGAGAATTTCAACAGAAGAGAAGAAGCGGTGATCCTCAATCGAATATAGAACCCCATTTTAAGGAATTCGAGAATAACGAACAGGACAACAGGCAGCAAGATTGTTGATGTTCCAGGTTCAAGTGCAGGTACGAATACAGGTACAAATTCAGGTACAAATACAACTTTACCTGACAAGGCATAAATACGCTTTACGAAGCGTAAAAGTTAGTCATCGAACAGCAAACCATGACTAGCTTCTGAAGAAGCTAGCCACTCGCGCAAGCGAAACGTCAGGAAGAAATTCCAAAAATCCACGGCTTTCAAACTCTAAAAGCGATGACACTGAAAACCTCAGCCGTGAAAGTCTAAACCATTCTGTTAATAAGTGAAAAACTGAAATGCATCCCATTTCAGAAGAGTAGGTCCTAGATTCAGAAAAAAATATCTCAACATCATTTGAAGTCAATGCCCGAGGAGTTACCAGGTAAAATATAGATACTTTGGTATAATTATAACATTATCAATGTTATAGAATTTTATAGACGTGTAGACACGCCTGAAGAAGTTATTGTATAGCGAAACACGTGTTGCGTTTTTGTATAACTGTTTAGTGAAAGTCTCACAATAAAATGTTTCCTTTAAACAATGGTGAAATAAAGGTTTATACACGTTTGCAGCTTATTATATTTCATTATAAGATGTGTCTGGGATATTTGGGATATTTTCAATGAAAATTTTGCAACAAATTGTTGTATGTAACAATGGATTATTATACACCAGATGGCCATTGTACTGCCCTATATCACAAAATTATAATAATCGTTGGAAAATCGTCAATCCCCTATCAGGTGATATTAAAATCTCTTCTAATAAAATGTTGATAAAAAATCGTGAAAATACTTATTGTGAGAGCAAATTTATACTGCAAAAGCATTTTACAAGTTCAAGCAAAGTACAAAGATAAACTCTCAATTTAGTTTCACATAATTTATGATTATTATTCATGTGGAAAGAACTTTGAATGAATTCACTTCATTAACAAAAGTTCATCTTCATTTTATATGTATATTCAGTGTTTTTTTAACTAAATTATGATTTATTTTATAATTTAGTTGAAAATACTGTATACAAAAATTTACTTCGCAAGTTTTCGTTGGTCAGAGGTTTATCAACCGTTTATTTTCTTATCACATTACTAAATTTTGCTATCTTTTTCATGGATACTGAAATCTAATCGGCAATAATTTTTGTGAGGAATAAAACAAGGAATGGCTTCAATGTAAATGTCTGGGTCATAGAAAAATTCACAGATACATTAAGGCTTATCACATCACAAAATCTTTGATAATGGGTCAAGACACATAAAACGCAAATAAAAATTTTTGTAGTGTCAACAGCATATACTGTCATGATCATCAGACTTCTTGTTCTGGGTAAACACCTAAAGAGCATCATGGATACTCATGGTACCATCAGCTATGTAACGTAACAGAATCAATCCAACTTCAACTAGAAAACTCACAATCCATTGTCTTTGGATTGTGAGTCGGGCATTATAAATACTACTTACGCCAATTCATTGCTACATTTATTACCAACAAAATATCCCTTTCATTTCTCCATTATTTCAAGTCATAATCTGTGAGTGTGCATTCACAATGTAACTGTACTCACCAAACCTCTGACAGTCTTCTTGTTCAACAATAACATTAATCCAGCACAATAAAACATAAGCGCTGGTGGTGTCTTCTTGCAAATCTTTCAGTTGTGCTACTTCTATGCAATAAATAGGATCAATTTCGCTAATAACTCCAACGGGTTGAGCGTCGGTGAAGGTTCGTAGGAATCCGGAATCACCTATTTCAGTTAACAGCATGTTGGCACGTTCTATGGAGGTATCTGATTCGAGAATATCCCGTAGTTCACAGATTGTTGCACCAGATTGAATATTCAGTCCAATCCTGACTTGTCTGGGTTGTTGGGAAGTATATAAAACCTAGAAGGTAAATAAATGGTTTATCAATATATAAAACATTTTTAAAGCAAGTAAATATATTTTTTATCTTTCAGTGTGTTTGAAACTAGATATACTAATATTTGTTGGGTAACAGGATCAATTTTTTTAAGAAAAAATCAATCCAACCAACCTTTTTCCAGAAAAATAATTGATTTCTATTAAATTTTTTGTTTGTATTGTAACGAATCTGAAGCCGTCACTGACCGATATGGCGGCCAGATAACAAAGACATGACATCACCGCAAAAGGAATGCAGTCGGCAACCGCCGGTAAAATTCTAGTTGAGTATCGAACCGACTACAGATTTCTAGAAAAAAAATATCTGTTTTTCCGTTAATCAGCTGTCGCCACCATACGAACGACAACTCTCAGAAGTTGACGAAAGTTGTGCGAGTAAAGGACTAACGTCATATAGGTAACGAAAGAATCGTTACCTATATAAGCCAGGCTCCCCGACCCAAGCGGTAGTTCAGAGAGTGAATCGAGCATTTAAACAAGTAATTCAAATAGTGGAAATAAATTAAGTGTTAGTTGCCAATGTCGTAAAAAAAAATATTTTGTGATTTGTGAAGTATTATTGGAAATAAATTTGTTTTAGACAGTTAATTCATTAATTTGTTATACAGTCAAATAATTTAACTGATCCCTTCAGAGATAAATTTGTTATTGAGTTAATGTATATTAAAAAATTGAGCTATGATTTTATGTATACAGGATAAACAATAGACATTTTACAATTTACAAATTTCACATAATTTTACTTTTCACCTTGAAGGAGAATTCACTTACGGTAACGTATATTGGATGCTTATGGAACTGTGGAAGCTGAACAGAAATACACTGAAAAGGATCGAATGTATTGGACTGAGTCCGACATCGCGAACAACTCAGTGAAGAACGGTACTGTGCTTGGAAAACGCCCTGTATGAACGAGTTATTGCACCTCTTGTAATTCTCCAGTGTTTCGGCGGCTATAACTTCATCAGGTCTTCCGGAAGTCTGAAATAAAAAAGGGGGGGATGTAATTTTACGTTGACAAATTCAATGAATAATTAAAAAAAACTGAATACCAATTTAATGATGTAATCGTAGTTGGTCTGAAACAGCTGTGGTAGGTACTTAAGAATTTATAACAAAGGCAAAATAATTAAGTATATTAATTCGGTGGCTCAGAAATGCGCACGTTCTACCCGTTATCAAAGTTGGGATACTCGAAATTGTCACACCCGACCAAACAGGTCATTTTCCATACATCCCAAATGCGAAAATAGGAGATAATTTTGCAATCCATCCATCCATTAAAAAGCATTTTGTAATAATAAAATGCTATAATCAAATAGCATTTTATTAACAAAAAATTCATTTTTTATGACCAAAATACAAGCACTACAAGAAAATCCTGAAGGCATTCGTAGAGCGGTGCCTGTGCGAAAGTAGTGATTCACATTGGATTTGAATCGCTGGAGATTAAATCCATTTGGAAAAAAGTTTTCAGGTTTATTCCACATAAACGCAGTTCTCCAAATGAAAGAGTTTTCAAACAGTGAAACTTCGAGGTGAACTGAGTTGAAACTCAAAACGATGAGCAGCCACAGTCCGTCGCGTATTACTGATATGTACTGGTCTTGGTGTAATCAAATGTGCCAAGTCACTTGAACATTTCCTGTGAAAGTATCAATAGAAGAGAGACAAATCTCCAACCTTTCTTCGATGTTCCGGATGGGGTCCGGATACTGTGGTAAAATTTTAACGAGGTCCAGAAAAAACAACGGTTAATAATTAGGTGCTACCTATGTATTATTTTGGTTTCAAATAAAATTCTGAATTTTAAAACACAAGACCTAAAATTAATGTGATAAACTAGATCGACGGTCTTGAGCCAGTTTTTTATAGTTTGGTTCTCGATAGGAACAGCAAATTCAAGTGTGTTTTCTAGGTGGGCGTCCGTTATTCCCGAAAGATATTTCACATACGTATGTTGAGCCAAAGATAGTGGCCAAATTTATAGCTAGTTTCTTGCAATTTTCATGTTTGGCCCAAATTTCTTCAGTGAATACCGTTTTCTACATTTGCAAAAACACATCTTCTAGCAAATCAATTATCTCTATTTGAAGTGATGGCTTTGACAGATTCAACAACTTGGTCGTCCGTTCTGCCGCAACATCAACTGATTCGCATAAACACACATAGGTACTAGGTTAACTAGGCAAATTATTGAAGTAAAATAAGTACTAAGTTGAATTATATGACTTAAAAATATTATTTTAATTCATGAAGGAATAGTATACCTTATCTACGAATTAATTTATACTTGGTATACAACACATTACAATATTTGGCGGTCCGAGCGATTCGATCTTTCGCGATCCGTGGTCCGCCTGTTGCTGACCGTTGTTCCAGACTATCGATGTTGCAAGAGATATTCGCGTCTCCAATCAGGTGGATGGCTCTTTTCTGGATGGAATGGATGGAATCCAGCAGCTTCAGGGTATGCTTAGGGGCGGAGCTCCATACATGAGAACAATACTCCAAAGGAGGTCTGATCTGAGTTTTATAAAGCATCAAAAGTTGCTTGGAACAGCGTTACAAGCTTTTTAGAAGCAGCCTTTGCAATTCCAGCGACATGATTGCGCCAAGACATATTGGTGTCCATTTTAACCCCCAACAAACTTATCGAAGCAAAAGGCGGAATTGTCTGACCTAACATTATTTATATCCGGTTCGGAGACATTTATCTTTTTGCCGTAAACCGATGCTTGGGTTTTTGTGGCATTGAATTGAACCTGGTTACTTTTACCCCAATTCGAAATTACTTAGAATATTTAGAACATACATGTAATAAACTTCTACCTGACATCAAAAACATCACGTTTATTAGCTCCAAGAAAAAAATCAAAAGCGCAATACTCAGTAATTGCCTTTCTGCTTTTTAAAAGCCCGTGAAAATGATTAGGGTTACTTGGCCATTTTTTTCTTCTTTTTTAATACCATATAAATGGTACACATGCATATGAATGATCAGTTTTGTATATTGATGTTCCCATTTTTTTTCCTTGGTCATTATCAGTGTGAAATAAATAATTACTATAATTTTTTCTGTTATGTTGCATTACAATTAGTATTATATGCATTTATATAATTAGACTTAGGAAAATGTATCATTGCATATAATTTACATGGACGGCTCAAAAAATAAGGTATTGTTAAAATTTCGCAAGCTACATACATTAGCGATTAGCGATTTATGTTGGTACACTCGTCTCGAACATATGTTCACAGTTTCAGTTGTTTATCATATTTAGTGCTCAAAACACTTGAAATGTTGACAGTGTCATACGGTGATTGTACTCTGAGTCAAGACAATGCTTACAAGTGGTACAAGCTTCTCACAGAAGGTCGCCCCAACACATCAACAACCGATCAAAATGTTGAAAAAAAATAGAACATTGTTATCGAGAATCGTCAAATCACATTTAGAGAAGTTGCTGAGGATGTCGGCATATTGGGTGGCTCATGCCACGTAATTTTTTCGTAAATTTTGGATATAAAGCGTGTGACAGCAAAGTTCGTTCCAAATTTACTGAATTTTGACCAAAAAAACCCGTCGTATGAGCATCGCTCAGGAGTTAAATGACTTTAACGGCGATCCAGATTTCCTTAAAAGGGCCATAACTGATGACGAATCATGGGTATATGGTTACGACATCAAAACCAAAGTCCAACTGTCCCAATGGAAGAGCCTAGGAGAGTCAAGACCAAAAAAGCATGCCAAGTTCGATCAAATGTCAAGGTTTAGTTCAGCCACCGTATTCACCAGGGTTGACCCCCTTAGACTTTTTCCTGTTCCTCAGATTGAAGAGTGCAATGATAAAAATTTCAAATCGATAGTATTTACCGTTATCAAAATACGCAATTCTCAACCGCGCTTTTGTGACGTCACGAGATATGTGCTATTGTTAATGCAGCGTCTAAACCACGTTTGAACTGTTATAAAACGAAGCGTTCAATAGTTGAGGTTTGAATAAAAATAAGTTCAGTCCTAGACAGTGTTATTGAGGCTGACTTGATTAATTTTCCAATCATTCATGATTATGGAATATTTAAAGAGAGTCCAAAGTTTAGAGACAAGTTTGACGATAAATTATAAATATAAATATTGAGTAACAATATGTATATGACGATTCAGTGATACAAAGTGTACAAAACAAAATTTTACTACTTTTTCTTGATTAAGCAAAACCTTTTTCAAATTCAAAAATCTAGGTTCGCTGCATTATAATTGAATACAACCTGCTTTTAGCCTTATGCACAAAAACATATTCCAATTGAATACACAGTAACGTATCATTTTTCAATTTGCAGGTTGTGCTTCTCGGATCCCGTCGGGCGAGGCAGCAGCATCAACCAATGACCACTCCCCACACAGACAGGAAAGTAGTCATTGGGCTCGAGAATCATATGCTCTAATAAGTAAAGGCAATGAGCCAATAATCAGAACAAACATCTCAACAGAGTTATCTAGATAAAGTCTGCGGAGTTCGAAGAGAAAATCTCCTATTCCATTAGCTTTTCTTTCGTTCTTTTCCTACAACATTCGTCTCACCCGGAGCTGAAAATTCCACGACAAATATCGTCTTGATCGACAAAAGGCAACACCGGTGTCATGTCAATACCGTAGAAGAGAGGTAGGTGGTATTAAAGCACACTTAGGCTGCGAGTACGAAAATGGCGACGGCCGAGCGATGGCGAGGTGAAGCGACGGCGGCGATGCCAGCCAGGTATACAACAACATCGACAGTATAGGTGACGTGCACGAAACGAGGAGTGGCGTTTCGTGCCCACGCGAGATACTTCTCCTCATCGCACCGCTCAGCAGTCGCCGTCGCGATTTTCGTGCCCGCAGCCTTAGGACCACGTTATGTCGATGGATACAGGTTGATACCGCCTACTCGTATGTTGGACGTGCCAACAGCAAGTGTATTAGGAACTCAAGCGCCCTGCGGCGGTCCTGCACCTTGTGTCAGATACCTCACAACTACGCTAGACTAAAGACGCCATCCTGGCAGGCCATGGTGAACCCTAATCTAACTTCATTCCATGGTATCCTAAAGATAGCATTTGTCAGGTGCTTTGAAAGCCGATGTCTTCAAGAACACTCCATGCTTCGGATTATCCTTGTATTGCCGCAGGAGTGAAGTAGTCTCTGCGGCTTTTATGTGGGTCATTTGCAGAACGGGTTTCAACTGATAGAGTTGTGATCAACTCGTTCAGTGTCAAAAACTAAACCAAGTTCATCGGCCACTCGGATAGCTGCCTTAATAATGAATCCACCGATTCCTGGTCATGGTAGCAGACCATACACAGAAAAGGAACTGAACTCCTCATGACTTCACAGGATCCATCCAGTACCATTGTGTCATATACGCCCACCATACCATGACCAAACCATGGCCTTCCTGTTGTCGGGATAAGTATAATCGTGAAACGGACAATTTGAGATGGGGGTCTTCAGATCGAGTTAATAGAGCCCCTTCTGAGTCCAATTCATCACTACTCCAAAGGCTTTGTTAACTTTTTCATTATTGGTAACAGTTACAAACAATTTATTCGGTTAATTTCTGTATAAGGTAAAATGCAATATTTTTGCACCTTGTTTATCCCCCATACTTCCAAAGCATAAGGTGAATACAAATACCTGAAAAATAATTGAATTCGAATGTTGACAAGTCTGAAAATAACGAAGATTTCTAGTCGACTCGACATTTCTTATATCTGGTGACGTCACGCCCCCTTTCGTTTAACCGCTTCTTTACGGCTGTTTCGTGATGCATTCCGAATACATTTTTGAAAAAAAAACATAGTGAAATCGTCCAATTGTCAAACCTTTCAGTAGATCATCAAATTTGAAGATACCTCAAAACTCTTGTGCGAATTTAGGATATACAAAAACAGGCAGATACCATACCTACCCTTCTACCCCCGTCCCGTCGAATGTTTCA